GACAAGAAGGATAATGAGGCCTTTGAACAGGTCATCAAGTACATGGCTGGGGTTCCTGTGGTTCAGTGGGTGCCTAAACTTAAAACCAAATCTCTGTCCATAGACCAGTGGACCAACAGTTTCCACATATATGCCAGCATATATTGTGAGAAAAAACCACAAGTGTTTGGGGCCCTCTTGAAATACATGTCAATCATACGCAAACTAGCCAGTAAAGGGGCTGATTGGCAGTTTTATGATACTTCATTTAGGCAGTTGCAGGCAAAAAACGGGGAGCAGGGCTGGGACCGTGTAGAGTGGGAACTTTGGCACGAGGCTATCATACGAAAAGCTGGGCAAACCTCACAACAGACAAAACAGTCGTTCACTCTCACACACCCAAAAGGTTTTTGTTTCAAATTTCTTGAGAGTAGAAATTGCCCTGGAGCGGAGGGGGGCTGTAAACATTTTCATGGCTGTCCAGCATGTCACGGCTCTCACCACCCCAGTAATTGCACTGCTTCCTCAGTAGCACCGCGGTCCCATGCGGGGTCCATACCTACTTTTCGTCCCCAACGCAACCAAAATCCATACACTCCACACCGCTTTCAACCATATGCCCCAAGACCACGTGGTTTCCCCAGAAATCGTTACCCCTATTATCGCCGATAGGCTCGCAGAGATGTTAGCAGGTTATGATAAAGACAAAACCCACTATCTTGTACAAGGTTTTACAGAAGGCTTTCACATTCATTATGATGGGGGGGATTTCAAACAAACATGTCAGAACCTTAAGTCTGCAAAAGATTTTCCCCATATTATTCAAGACAAACTTCAGAAAGAATTACAGGCAGGGCGTATTGATGGCCCCTTTACGTCTCCCCCCTACAATGAATTTCATGTCAGCCCCATTGGTGTGGTCCCTAAGAAAGATCCTGGTAAATATCGAATGATTCACCACCTTAGTCACCCAAAAGGTCTATCGATTAATGATGGAATCAGCACAGAGTCGTCAACGGTGCAGTACGCCACAATATCGGATGCAATTAAGCACATTAAACAGCTAGGCCAAGGTAGTTTTTTTAGCTAAGACTGACATCGAATCAGCATTCCGAATTATACCCATACATCCGGACGACCGCCGGTTGTTAGGCTTACAGTGGGATGGGAAAATATATTTCGACAGATGTTTACCTATGGGTTTATCAGAAAGTTGTAAAATCTTCGAAGAACTCAGTACTGCACTAGAATGGATAGCTTATACCAAACTGAACGCCCCAGCAGTTGTTCATGTATTAGATGATTTTCTTTTTGTTGCCCAAACTGAAACAGAATGCAAAGCTATTCTTCATTCCTTTCAAGAGATGTGTGAATATATGGGTATCCCATTAGCCCCCGAAAAAACTTTTGGACCTGAACAGGTATTGCCATTCCTTGGTATCACTTTGGACACCAGAAACATGGAAGCTAGACTTCCTCAAGATAAGTTGGTTAAATGCAAAGAACTTATCACCTCATTTAAAACCCGCAAGAAAGTAACCTTAAAAGATCTGCAATCCCTTATTGGTACATTACATTTTGCCACTACTGTTGTCTTACCGGGACGGGCCTTCTTGCGAAGACTTATTGATTTAACTATGGGAGTTAACAAGCCATTCCACCTTATTCGTCTTACAAAGGCGGCCAAGGCCGACCTTGTCATGTGGGAAGAATTTCTACAAGACTTTAATGGTTCCCAGTTCTTCTTAGACGAAAAATGGTTGTTCAGTGATAATATCAAATTTTTCACAGACTCATCTTCTAAAGGCTATGGGGGTATATTTCAGAACCAGTGGTTTTATGGTACTTGGGTCCCAAAAATACGACAGAAAGGCATTAACATAGCCATACTGGAGTTATATCCAATTGTATTAGCTATTTTAGCTTGGGGTGAACACCTTCAACATAAATGCATCTGGTTTTTCACCGACAACCAGGCTCTGATCCCAGTAATTAACAAACAATCATCGCGAGATCCAGTTATCATGCGGCTAATACGCAAGTTAGTATTGTTATGCCTAAAGTACAATATACTTTTTCGATGTGTCCATATCAAAGGTCATGACAACACACTAGCAGATGCTTTATCTCGTTTACAGGTAGAGAATTTCAAAAAAGTATGTCCATCGGCCTCCCCAAAGCCAACATCAGTGCAGACACTGTTGGATCAGGAACTTTACCTATTACGTTGAAAAAATTGATGACTGCTGGTCTGGCACCAGCTACCCAAAAAACTTATAACAAGGTTTTGTCCGACTTGGACAGCTTCTGTACCACTGTGTTGCACACTCCTGCTCATATTCCACTTAGTTATGCCACCGTTGCACTTTATGTAGCTCATTGTCATGAGAAACGTTTTTCGCCCTCTACGATAACTTCACATTTATCAGCGATAGCATACGTACACAATATTGCGGGTCATACAGATCCAACAAAGTCTTTCACTATTCGAAAGCTTTTGGCTGGAGCATCCAAAATTTCCCCAACATATGATACACGTCTTCCCATTACTGAACCAGTCCTTCATAGGTTAGTATCTTCATTGACCTTTCTTTGTCCTGACCAGTACGAACAACATCTTTATCGTTCCATCTTCACTTTAGCCTTTTATGGCTTGGCTCGCATAGGCGAACTTGTTTACACCAGTTCCCAGGTTGTCAAAAATGTTCTCCAACTTTCAGATATACATATCGGCTATCACCACAACAAACCCACCAGTATTCAGATAAACTATTCTAACTTTAAACATAACTCAGACAATAGAGTACACAGTGTCACAGTGGCTAGTCTAGAGAAAGATTCTATAATATGCCCGGTCAACGCATTATTGGGGTACTTGTCAGTACGGGGGCCGAGCCAGGGTTACCTGTACCTCAACAAGGATCAACAGCCAGTAGTCCGATATACCTTTGATTTAACAATCAAACGTTGCCTTCGATTTTGCGAGTTAGATAGCTCCCAGTATAAAGGTCACTCTTTCAGGATTGGGGGGGCAACATTAGCAGCGGAAAGAGGCATGACAGATGCCAAAATTCGCTTATTGGGCAGGTGGAAATCGGAAGCATTTAAAAAGTACATCCGTTCAGTTCCCATATACAATCCCAATCAACATTAAGGATACAGGCGCGTTGGCCCCTGTATGAAAAACACTTTTAGGCTTTAATAATAACATAGGTAATCGGCAGGCGGGTGGGCCCCTGCTTAGTTTTGAGCAACATATTGAACAAGTGTTTATTGCAAGGCACGTGACGTGGGTCCCTACACAGTCTAAACCCGGAAGGACAATGGTAAAATAATTCCTCTTGTGGACAGCACATATGTGTTGGACTGGTTACTTTATATGTACATATATTTTAAGTATATAGAAACAGTTAAAAAACAGTATACAAGTTCATATAAAATATATATATATATATATACATGTGTGTAGGAATGTTACAAATTGATTTAATTCTTAATATATGGTTCCATATGTATGCATATTATGTTATGTATTTTTGTTAACAAATGTCGCAAAGGAATAGGCCACTAAAGGCCATATATCGAATACTAGCACATTGCCATGTTTATATATTCTATTACATCATCACCATAATCAATTTCACCACATAGGCGCGTGGGGCCCTATGTCACTCTGAACGGTATGGTGTTGTGGTGTGTTTGTTAGTCACAGGATATTTAGTTTTCCTTACATGATTGTTCAGTGTAACATAACTTTGCGAGTTTTCCAGTATTTTCTCCAGTTATTACTTATTAGCTTTCTCCATGCTGTTTGGGTGGCGGATGACAATAAAGTATATTGTCATTTTGGCGGATGGTTTTTTCTTCCGCTCACCTTTGCTTATATTTTATAGACATTTTAATTTGTTTGAAGAAATAATTGGATTTTTTCGAAATCATGTGTTACTAAGATCAAGAATTAGTAAAAGAAGTTTTTTATCCAAATTTTTCAGAATATGAATAAAAAATTGCGGCCACTTCCTAAAAAGTGAGCCAATTTTTCGCCAATCACAAATGTTTTGGTGTTATTTTGTTGGAGAAATGATGAGACATTAAGCAAACAGAGCTTCACAGCATGGAGTAGTTTTCATCACTTGACAGATACATGTATAATTATAGAGAAGGTATTGGGAGGTCAAGAGACAGACAGCACATGAGCTTTTAAGATCGTCAGCACAATATTTAGGTTTTGCAGTAAAAGCAAAAAGGAATTATATAGTTAAGGTTGTCTACCATCTGTTCAGTCTATTGGTACGTGTCTAAGTATTTTGTATATTGGTGTATTCACGAAGTTTTCAGTTAGTATCAACTCTACCTTTTACAGATCAATGCCACAGCGACCTTGAAATTAAGCAGACAAGACCTACTAATGACTTACAGTGTACTACACCTGTACTATCACGTGAATGTGACCTGACACAGCTGTGACGTGACATACGTATGACGAACATAATATACCTATAGGATAACACACCTGTGCTATGACGTGTATGTGACCTGACACAGCTGTGACGTGACATACGTATGACGAACATAATAAACCGATAGGATAACACACCTCTGCTATGACGTGTATGTGACCTGACACAGCTATGACGTGACATACGTATGACGAACATAATAAACCGATAGGATAACACACCTCTGACGTAACATGACTATGAAAAACATGACATACCTGTTAGTTAACACACATGTGACGTGGTATACCTCTGACGTGGTATACCTTGACGTAACATATCTTTGACGTGACCCATTTGTGACCTGACATACTTATGACGTACGATTCATGTGGCAAACTAACAGAGCCACGTATGTCTTCAATGCTGTGATTGTTTTTGACATCGATTATCGTCAACAAAGTACTTTCGATACTTTTTTTCCCTACGGTACATTATATGTTCCACACAACCATAAGCAAAAACTCCACACTATAATAAGAATAACACAATATTTCAACATCAATTTAATAAATTATTCAACACATTATTTATTTCGACAAACACTGTTGGTTTACAAACATCTATTGAATTTTATGTCGATTGTAGCTCTTCAGCATCACCGGTATCGCTGGTTTAAATGTCCTACATATGTAAACTGCATGAAGAAATTCCTAAAACCCTAACACCTTTGACAACATGTTACCCATCCTCGATATCCAGGGGTTACGCTCACGTACGCTCTGAGCGTGCAGATAGCGTAAGTGAGCGTAAGTGAGCGTAAGTGAACGTAAGTGAGCGTAAGTGAGCGTAAACGCTGGATATCGATCATGCATGCTACTTAGTTTTGGAAAATAAATCTTTAACGTCCTTTTAGTTTTTAATTCTGGATCTCAGGATGGGTTTCGTCCTGCTAAAACATTTGTATAATATATTGACAACGAGAGCATCTTGGAAGCTGATACGGGTCGCCTTCCCTATCAAGTCCTGATATTTGGGATTTTTAGTCCGCATTGTCGGAGAACCGTTCGTCGAAAACGCCTGTAAAACAAAACAGTGCCAACTTGGTAGTGAGAAAACATAAATATCATCTGTATAGATCTGGATTTAACGCCCGTTAAAATTAATATGATTTAAAAAATAATATGTTAAAACATTAAGCTTATTGGGTAACTTCTTTTTAAACTCAAACTCAATTTCGTCAAATATTTAAGAACGTAGATTGAGAATTAAGAATTAAGATGGAAAACAATTAACCCTATAACAAAAACACACAAAAAAATGAACATTATTCAATCAACGAATGATGAATCAAAATAAATAAATCAGTATAATAATATATGTAATAAACAAACGAAAATTCATAAGGTAAACAAGTTAAAAAAAAACAGAAAAATAAACTATGTTTACCATTGGACCGTAATGCATTAGACTTGTGTAGTCATAAGGTACGTCTCGTGAGGACGAGACAGCTTTGTTAAACTTCTGGAAGTTGTGTCTCATACTCGTCTGTACGTTAGTCCATTCGATGTTCAGGTATTCGTCTCTGTCGGGCCGAGACTGCTCGTGGACCATGCCCAGTGCGTGCCCTATCTCGTGGGCTATTATATGTCTCTGTCAGTAACAAGACACTCCGTAAACAAGAATACATGTGGTCAGGTCGAATTCAAGACATAGATTATACAAATATACAAATTGGCCACATCTCGTCGGAAACTATAGATTTTGTCGGCAAATAATTATATAACTATATAGACCTATCATATCTCATGAAATAGTATAGACATCTATTGGAAATATTATACAAAGTTATTGGTGGGCGTTATCTCATGGGCTTTTATCGACTCTTGTAGGAAACAAATCACAAATGATATAATAATAAGGACCTGGGCTTTATTCTGGGGTATTGTAAATTTCTATCGGATACACGACAGACATTTTAAAACTATTAATCATATGGACATGCTGAATTTCGTTGACTATTGCAAGTTTGTGTTCGAAGCAAGACACTTATTATACAGTTATATGTGTGGGTCCCTTCTAATTGGCGGCATATATTATAGATTTATATCGGAAACACGTAACTACATATACTTACACAAGTACATGGACATGCTGTATCTCGTTAGCTATGATATTTTTTTTTATCGAAAATAATACACTTAAACAATGTAATACAATAACAGGGTAGACACTATCTCGTGTCCAATAATAATCTAATATATTATTCAGTATTTCATGATCGCCTGAACAGAGAATCAATCTATGAAACAAAACGAAGATAATGTTAAGTATACATTGTGTATGAGAAAGAAGTATGAAAAGGGGGATAAATGTTACTTACCACACGACAAGGAGGCGTGCTACTTACCACACGACAAGGAGGCGTGCTACTTACCACACGACAAGGAGGCGTGCTACTTACCACACGACAGGGAGGCGCTCTACTTACAAAACGACACAGAGGCGTTCTACTTACCAAACGACAAGGAGGTGCGCTATTTACCACACGACAGGGAGACGCTCTACTTACAAAACGACACAAAGGCGTTCTACTTACCAAACGACAAGGAGGCGCTTAACTTACAAAACGACAGGGAGGCGCTCTACTTACCACAAGACACGGAGGCGCTCTACTTACCACACGACAGGGAGACGCTTACCACACGACAAGGAGGCGCTCTAATTACCACACGACAAGTAGGCGCTCTATTTACCACTCGACAAGGAGGCGCTCTACTTACCACACGACAAGGACGCGGTCTTCTTACCACCCGACAAGGAGGCACTCTACTTACCACGCGACAAGGAGGCGCTCTAATTACCACCCGACAAGGAGGCGCTCTTCTTACCACCCGACAAGGAGGCACTCTACTTACCACCCGACAATGAGGCGCTCTAATTACCGCATGATATGGAGGCGCTCTACTTAACACACAACAAGGAGGCGCTCTACTTATCACCCGACAAGGAGACGCTCTACTTACCACCCGACAAGGAGGCGCTCTAAATACCACATGATAGGGAGGCGCTCTACTTACTACACGACAAGGATGCGCTCTTCTTACCACACAAGGAAGCGCTCTACTTACTACACGACAAGGATGCGCTCTTCTTACCACACAAGAAGGAGGTGCGCTACTTACCACCCGACAAGGAGGCGCTCTAATTAACACCCGACAAGGAGGCGCTCTAATTACCACCCAACAAGGAGGCGCTCTAATTACCACATGATAGGGAGGCGCTCTACTTACCACCCGACAAGGAGCCGCTCTACTTACCACCCGACAAGGAGGCGCTCTAATTACCACCCGACAAGGAGGCGCTCTAATTACCACCCAACAAGGAGGCGCTCTAATTACCACACGATAGGGAGGCGCTCTACTTACCACCCGACAAGGAGGCGCTCTAATTACCACCCGACAAGGAGGCGCTCTAGTTAC